CAAAAAGGATTTAGGCAGATCAAAATTCTCATCAGCTCTGATCTTGAGAAAGCCTCTATTTTGATCTCTGATAAACTTTTCACCAGGGCCAGACAGTCTCTTATATGAATTGAAATGGTGTCATTATTCGAAGGTTTATTTGAACATCCCTTTTGTTGTTTTGATCTCTTCTACCGATTGTCTCTAATGTTGACTCAACTTCTTAAGCGAAATCTTATGTTTATTCGGTGAATAATTCTGAATAATATCATGACATTTTTACTTGCATTATTTACATTATTCGGACTGTTATCCTCATCCGGTCTTTCTGTCTATGTCTCTCTATATCTCTGTCTATATCTCTGAAATGAGGTATCATGATTATTTGCATTATTTACATTATTCGGACTGTTATCCTCATCTTCATTGCCATATTCACAACGTTTCGGCCGTTGTACGCTCCGGCCTTTATGTCTATGTCTATCTATATATCTGTCTATATCTCTGAGATGAGGTATCATGATTATTTGCATTATTTACATTATTCGGACTCTTATCCTTATCTTCATTACCATGTTCTCAAGGACACATGGTTCAGTGAATAAAGACGTTGGTTAGATCGAGTGAACAGACCCAAAGAGTTTTGAGTTCAATACCAGGTCACAGCAGTGGTGAACCAAAACTTGTAGAATTCAGTTAAACTGAAATGACTGAGACATTCGGAAGAGGCATGCCACGTGGAACTAGAACAATGTACGAAATAAAGGATTCAGTTCGAAATTCCAAACACCTGAAGAAGGCCGGAGCGTACAACTGCCGAAAAATTGTGAACGTGGCAATTAAGATGAGGATAAAATTCCGAATAATATAAATAATGTTATAATAATAGACAGATACGAACTTTGTTATTTTCATTATTTTATTTCATCCAATTGACTCTCCGGTGTTCCTAGTTTTACCTGAAATTCTAAAATAAAATCTTCTCTCGCTTTAGTATTGTCTGAAATGGATTACACAGACTAGTATCCTTACTTTTATTGTTTTGTTCATTTAATTTTGGTAGATGACAAATTTAGCCGTCAGCAGGAGACCCTGCTGTGATTAGAATTAAAGTGGGTTCTAAATTATTTTATCTGGGATTGAAGGTTCCACTGTTTTATGATCAACAGCGTAGTCTAGATATGAGATCTTCAAAGCAGTAGCAAGTTTTGCACAAGTAGTGTGACGAGACATGAATCAAATAAATAAATGAAGATATTTGGTATCAAGTGACACATAGCCGGAAGGTATGTAGTTCCGGTCGTAGGTTTCTATGGGCAGAGTCACATCTACGAATCGGCCGTCAATATGTAGATAGGAAGAGCCAGAAAGCAACGTGGTGTGATGGACCGAGGGGTGGTAGGAGAGAGTTGTAGTTCTCGATGGCCGGAAAGAAAATCTGGTCTGTTCGTCTGTCATGAGAGAAGACGGAAGTAGCAGCTTTAACCCCCCACCTCCCGGCGCCATAGTCTCTACCTGGTGAATCCGGTAATATATAACAAGGATTTCCTGTTTTTATTTCTCTCCGTGGCGTTATTTTTCTTTCCCTTGTGAACGTGCACCAGGCCTTTCCTAGTTTTATTCATATCGACCCAACATCAAAAAACAACGTGGGGTGATTTGTCCACTCTGTCAAAAACTGTGAAAGGATCCGCAATGTAGGTTTGCAGTGTTCGTTTCAAGATTTTTTCTAGTTTTTTAGACAAATCTTTCTCACAAAACCCGTGAGGAAACTGCAGTTGAGTATTACAAAATGATGACGATATTCACCCATAATACTCCGTCAAATCAAATTTTATTTATTACGATAAAATTCTCCTGTAACTCCCCTTCATAAAATTCTAACGCCCCATTTTCATCATCTTTAGGCGGGTATGAAAACAAGGTTAAAATAAATGCTAATTAATTTTTAGATTAATTACTGTTGTGGTGTCCTCCCTCTAATGAGTCTATTATGGACTCTACCACTTACTATAAAAATAGTAGGAGAGTAAGCCCCGGGGGAACAGTACTCCAGCCTGTTCCTTACTGTCAAACTCTTTGCCTTGAGCAGAGATGAACTCGGACGAGGCTTGGCTGAAGGGCAAAATTTCGTCCGGGGCGTTAGACAAAGCCTGAACCCCTTTATACGGATTCTAAGGGAATATTTTTGGCCGAGCCTACGGCGGAGAACCCACGGTAAACTCGGCCTTGTGCCACATACTACCCTTGTGGAGGGGTTGTTAAATATAACAGTGCTCTAGCCTGTTCAAATGTCGAACCCTCTGCCTCGGTAGAGAGGAACCTGGACGAGGCTTTGCTGCAGGGCAAAGTTTCGTCCGAGGAGGAAGACAGACCCTGAACACGTTTATACGGCTTCTAAGGGAATATTTTCGGGCGAGCCTAAGGGCTCGGAGAACCCACGGTAAACACAGCCTTGTGCCACATATATCCTTCGTGGGGGGGTGATATATTAACAGTGATATAGACTTAACGGTGGTCAAACGATACACACTCCCAAGTCATGTAACACAATTCTGTTGTATTTAATGTTCAATACACTATTTATCTGCAACCTCATGTTTTGTTATTTCTTAACCATTACTTGGTCACAACAGTTACACACACACAACGTTTCGGCCGTTATACGATCCGGCCTTCTACATGTGGCGACAAAGATGAGGACAATAGTCCGAATAATGTAAATAATGTACATAATACCTCATCTCAGAAATATTGACAGATACTGAAGGAAAATTTGACTATTTTTTTTATTTAGTTTTCCTAACATTCTTACATTTTTTCGTTTGGCGGGATTATATATATATATATATATATATATATACTTATCATAAAACCCAGGTTGTGTGTGTGTCTGTACGTTTATATATTGGATTGGATTTCCTACATTTTTCAACCGATTTCAACAAAACTTCACAGGACTACGTAAAATTACCTTGTGGTAATTCTGACAGCGCCAAAAATTGGAAAAACACAATTGTTTTTGCACGAAATCAATTTGAAAACACGATTAAGAGTCGTCACGAGAATGAAAGGGGGACAACACATATCGAGTTATACTTATTATAAAACCCAGCTTGTTTGTGTGTGTGTGTGTGTGTTCGTTTATATATGGGATCGTTTATATATGGGATTTCCAACATTTTTCAACCGATTTCAACAAAACTTCACTTTTTTTGGCAGGTAGTGTTTCTTATTGTCTTGCACACTTTTTCTTTATTTTTACATTCAGAATGCTTTAGAAATTCCATTTACAAGACAATTGTTTATAATAAAATTCTATTCAATCGGTAGAGACTCATAACGATTGAAAACAATGTTTTTGTTTGAGTTTCGGT